ATTAATAAAAGCTTAAATAATAAATTACAAATTCATTTGCACAAGCCTTGTTTTTATTTAAATAGATATATTTAAATGAAAAAATCTTTTCAAGTTTAGTAAAGCAAAAACAATGACCCTAATGTAAATCACCATGAATTATTAAACTGTATAATAAATAAAAATAAATTAACAAAATTTGAAAAGTTTAAAACTAGTTGATAATGCATAAATTAATTGATTTATAAACTTGTATGTTAAATATGAATCTATTTGCATCTTCTAATAGAATTTTTCTAAATTAATTTTTATCAGAAATTTGTAACGATCATCAATCTAATTAATACTTGGTAAATAAAAAAAGAATTTTTAATCATCAAATATATTCCATAGCATCCTTTCGTATATTATATTTCTTTTTTGATATCCTGCGTAATACTAAAATATCTCTAAATAATCCGAATAAAAAAATACAACCATTTCATTCACTCGAAATTAGTGTTACAATCTGTTTCATCCGTATTAAAAAAATGTTGGTTTTCCTATTTTTAATACTACTATATGTATCTTAATCAATTTATTTGGCTCAACCATGCGAATACAGTAACATTTTATTAAAAATAACATTTTATCATAACATAAAAAGGAATACCAAATTTATGATTATGTTTAAAATTAAAACGAATTAAGCGAGTTTATCCGGATCGTAAAGCTTGCTCAAAACTCAACCTCATAATTGATATTTATTATTTTTTAATGTTTCTTTCTTGAATATAATTCTTGATGGAAGAATCACTTAAATACCTACAACTATTCACATTCGGTTAGAATATCTAACTATAAATAATTCTAAAGTTTGGGAAACTGAATTTTTAATCATATAATATATACATATAATATTACTATATCAACACTTTATTATTACTATGATAAATTTTCAACATGGTACGTATGATATAACCCTTCGATCTACTAGAAAAAGTTTAGTAAACGCATCATCAACCTTTGACCCCAATAAAAAACAACATAATTAACAACATAATCATAAAGAACGAAAGAACAGATTTACTATGAACACAAAAAAAAAAAAAATTTACCGTTTGAAGAAACTACTTTCATTTTCCTTCAGAATTATCTTGCAATACTTTGTTAAATTCTTGCACATCGTAGTGTATAAAAGAATCAAATGAATTATTCTGTTAATTCAATCATTTTAACGGAAATATGTGATGTTCGCAAAATTGTAGAAAACTGTTACGCCACCAAGGGAATTCTTCACCATCTTTCCGTGGAAACTTGATGGACCACCTATAATTTTAAGAAAGAGAATGTTAATAACGTCCCAATTAAAAAAAATATTTTATTAAATAATTGTATTATGACCAACCTTACGGAAATCTCGAAAAAATAAAGTGATCGTAGTAACGAATTTGTATAACTTCGTAGCGCCTTTGTTCTTCAATCCGATAAATCCAACACATCCCATCTTCACCTTTGAATCATAACCATATGAAAAGATTAAAAACAAAGCCCAGGGACATTAAAGGTTATCGTAATCATAAATAGAATATTTGTGAATAATCGATAATATACTTACGCCATAAACCACCTATAATATAATGCAAGTATCGTAATATTGGTCGAATAATTCTTGATTAATTTGATTAATTTACAAGTTTGGTTTTGGGACAAACAGTTTATGTAGTTCAGAAAGAAAATCGTGTAAAGCCCCTGATCTTCTTCGGCAGTGAATCGATGATGAGCATCTAAAATCCATATGGCAATACCTAGGAATAGGCGGACAACCAAAAATTACAAAATATAGCATAGTAATGTGAGCGTTGATTTGCATTGTTTCAATATAATCCCAAGACAATTTTAATACATACGATAAGCAACATATTATGTTGGATTTTCAGGATTCCGCGATACGGGACGAAATCGTTCAGTTGCCAAAGGGAAATAAGAAAATTCTTCTAAGAAAAAAAAATTTGAATTAATTAAATAGGTTCATTCATTTTGTTGAAATTATCACAACATACCATTTCCAAGTTTCAACTTCGAATTCTACGCTTGTTATACACTACTCCAAATTTCACCGATTTGTTACAAGCTAATGCGTTATGTTCAAAGTCTATAATCTCCCGGCATAATTATAATTTCAAACCCTATTATAAATAAATGAAATATTGGTTAACACTAGAATATTTCAAATTTAATAGGGAATGTTGATGAATTTTATATAGTACAACGCATTAAATGAATTTAAAAAAAAGTTATTTACTTACAAAGAGATTCAAATTAAAACCAAATTTTATTTGAATAAAAAAATACGATAATATATGATGAGCTGTATCTTCTACGTTCGCCATATGCCTATTTTCGATAGTCATTTGGTTTGTTTGTAAAAGATAAAATTATAAAATATTTCGTTATAATATGTAAAACCTATAACGTTGCCAAAAAAATTATTTTGGTGGAAAATACTTAAAAGTAAAACCAAACCAAAATAACTATGACCTAATATCAAGCAAAACCTTCACAGAATTACACTAATAATAATATTATTATTCTAAATTAAACCTAATACAAATAAATGCAAATCAAGATTTAAAACTATTACTAGCTGTAGCCTGTTACGTTGCAACAGGTTAATTTATAATAATATGCTGCTCTATAAAATTTATATTCAGGCCATTCCCTTTTCTGTTACAGGCTCGTCTTTCTTTTAAATATTTTGTTTTTATCGTTATATAATTAAAATTTACTGTAACTTATGTTAGAGAATAGAGTCCAAAAAAAATTACAATAAAAAATGAACAATAAAAAAATAGTAGCAAAAAAAAGTCTATTTTTATTGGTGTTATTCAACAAAATGTATTATAACAATAAAAAATGAAAAACTAATTAAAAAAGATTTATTTTTCGACTTGAACCGAAAAAAAATAAAAAAATGATTAAAAAATAGGTATTGAAAATCTTTTTTTTCGGGTTGAAAAAATTTTTATAAAAAAAAAAAATGGTCACCAATCCGATCACTGGTCCAAACCTAAAGGGCAGTGATGCGCATTGGAAGCTTCCAAGAAAGGAAAAAAAAATATTATTAAAAAAAACCAGTCTCAAAAGAACCAGAAGGAAGAGAAAAAATTTTTTCTAAAAAAATTCGGTAAAGAGAACAAAAGAAAATTTTTTTAAATAAAGAAAAAAACCGGGTTTTAAAAAACTGAAAAAAAATAATAAATCCGATTTTCAAAAACCCGGAAAAAAAATTTCCTCGACAGACATAGACCAGGCGCAGACATATCACAGGGTTTTCATGTTACACAATTCAAGGAAATAATTACAATTTTTGTTATTTAGATGCAGATCCCCGTTATGGTATAAATCTGTCGAAAGACTGTTTTCCCTTGAAACTTAGGATGATCGGCATTTAATTTATCATTCTTGAAAAGAACAAAATACAGTAAATATCTAACGTATTATCTAATAAATGCCAAGACTTTAGCTAATTATTATTTTCTATTATCGGAAATACAAAGTAGTGATAAATAAATATTCCATGGAGAATGTTATAATAGAACCTTACTTTGAAAGGGTTGTTATTTATACTTTTATATTCGTAAACTCCGGTCAAAGAATTTTCTTTAAGTTGATCGTTTCTTTAAAAGGATACGATTAAAAATTTTCGACCGTTTTTATTGTAAAATTTCCTTTTTTAAATCATCGTGCTACAAACAAATTAGTGTAACTATAAAATGTATTTATATTATGGTAGTTTTTAGAGTGCCAGTAAAGAATAAAATTTAAATTATGGATCAATTAATCAACCCGTCAAATGACACGTCTGTAAGTCATCCATCAATTGACTTATCGAATTACACATCTTTAAGTTATTCCCAAATTGATCTACAACCAATGAATTATACATATTATATTGATTTATCAAATAACTCATCTATGAATTATTTACCTGTTAACTTACTGGATTACAATTATCCACAATTAATTTATCAGATAATACATCTTTAAGTGATAACCTAACTGATTACACATCTTTAGGTTATCTACCAATTGACTTATCAAATGACAATCCACAAATTGACTTATTAAATGATCTGAGTCATCCACAATTGAATTATTCTACCTCAAATAATTCATCTATTGATTTATCATCTGACACATCTTTAAATTCACCACCAGACAACACATCTTTAAGTCATCCATCAATTGACTTATCAAATAATACGTCTTTGAGTTATCCACCAATTGACCAAACTAAGGAACTAACATCTTTAAATTATCCAACACAGAACACGCTTAAACCTGAGATTAAAAAATGTCTTGAATATAATAAAGAAGAAAAGTTTGCGAATGAAATGCATGTGATTCGTCATCCATATCATAAAGAAGCAACAGTTACTCTAAGTGGAAATAAAGTTATTGATGATTTTATAATCAGTATATTAAGTAATAGTGCCATTTACAAACGTAGAAAATTGGTGAATTTGGAATTTGTTCCATATGAAAGGTTCAAGAATATAAAATTTGTCGCTGAAGGAGGATTTAGTAAAATTTATAAAGCTATTTGGATTGATGGTCCATTAACCAACAAATGGAATTATAAAAAAAAAGAGTTTAATCGTAAAGGTGGAAAAACAGTTGCTCTCAAAGAACTTAATAATTCTAAAAACATTGAATCTAAAGAGTTAAATGAGGTACAGTATCTTGTTAATTCACAAATTAATAGTCTAAAAAATAGCAAAACTAACTAATTTTATTTTAGCTTAAAATATTTTATAATTTTATTTTAAAACATACTCGTTCTGATGATACTATTAATGACACTAATCGATATTTTGGAATCACTCAAAATCCCAACACACAAAATTTTATGATAATTACAAATTATTACAAATCAGGAGATCTAACACATTATATTTCAAAAGATTTTTTTAATATTAGTTGGAACACGAAATTATATAAATTAAGTGACATGATAAGAGGACTTAGAATGCTACACAATGAAGGTGTTGTCCATCAAGATTATCATAGTGGAAATATTTAATATAGAAACAAAATGTATTTTTAATGTAACTGCAGTAACAGGCGATTTTGGTATAAGTAAATCTGCAATTGAAACATCAGATGATGATAATGAGGTTTATGGAATCATTCCGTATGTTGCTCCGGAAGTTTTTCAAGGACAAAAATATACTAAAGCATCAGATATATATAGTTTTGGTATGATTATGTGGGAATTAATGACAGGTAGAAGACCATTCTGGGATAGAAGCCATGATACAGAACTTATTATTGAAATATGTGATGGTCTTCGACCTCCAATTGTCACAAATGCACCTAAAGGTTATATTGAATTAATGCAAAAATGTTGGCATTCTGATCCACATGAAAGACCAAGTGCTAATTGTATTCGGAATGAATTTTGTTATGATGGTAAATTGTATCCCGAAAAAGAAAGTAAAAATCCAACTAAGATTATAAATTCACCGGATATCGGACCTGTAACAACAAATAATGCAGGCGCTATCTTTAAAAGTAGGCCATTAAGTACAATGATAAAATCTGCCAACTTTACAAGAAGTCTAAGATTAAAAGGTCAAAATGCTGCTTCAGGACTTGGTAATAAAATTATGTTATTTATATCTGCTGTACTTTAACAGTTTAGAATTTAAATCATTTTAATATAATTTATTAATTAAGACAAAAGAAAATTTAATAATAATTTGATTGAGAATAATAATAATGATAAAGGTATTAAATTAAGTATTTTATCAATTAATTTAATTATAATATAACTAATTCATTTGTAATGATATTGGTTTAGATAAAATCCATAAAAGACTTAAATATTGTGAAGAACAGAATGATAGTAAATGCACACATAATATTTTTTTCATAATATATATCTTGCATAAATAATCAAAATTTGCTTTTTTTTTTCTTGTAGATTACTTAACACAAGAACTCGAATTTGATATTAAGTGTAATACGAATTCTAACAAATCTGAAGACAATGGTAAGCAATTAATAATATTTGTAATACTAATTATTATTTTATTAAAATCTATTTTATTATGTAGATTATATTACCAGTGAACTTAATTTTGATATTTAATTCTTCAAAATTTCGAGGTTTTAATATTCAAGATTTTTAAGATTATGACTATACAGTATTTATGTTAAAATTATTATTATGAATTTATTTACTTTATTTATTGTTTATCATAATTTATTTATATTTATTAATGTTATATTATTAACCATATTTCCATCGAATAAGTTTATTAAAATGGTAAATTAATCTCTATTATTAATAAAATATTGGCAAGATTAATTAATAAGCTATTTAACTATTTTGATACGTTAAATGAAAATTTGTTTTTACAGATAATTATAAATTGTTGCGTTATAAAAAGTTTATGATAGGAAAGTTTAATATGTAAAAATATTTTAGATATTAACAGTATTCGTATGCTTCAAATATTTCAAATACAATATACTAGCATCAAATAAAATAAAGGTTAATAAAAAGTCATAAATAATTAATATAAAACATTCATACTATTTACTTCTCAAGATACCCAGGTTTTTGTATATAATATTAACAGATATTATTGATGTGATTGCAATACTTGCAAAATTTCCTTTATTCGTGTCAAATTAAAATTGAAGATGCAAAAGCCTCACCTTTTTTAAAAAAAACTATTTTAGTAATACATTATATACACAGGTCTAAGTGGTGGTTCGTTTTAAAAATACAATTTGATGTAAAATAAAATTTAAAGGGGATCCGTATTCAAAATGAATGACAACTGCTACAACAACTTATTTGATTAAAAGTAAATTCATTTCTCCTTCATTACTATTAAAATTATTGTTCCATGAAATTTATAGTCAAAGAAGTTATTTAAAATCAGTATGGAAACTTTGAATTTTTATAACAAATTCGGAGAGATTTAAAAAATTTATACTGTTAAGCCATGTATACTATTAAACTATTTTATGCTATCTACTTAGACTATTTATACTCTACGGCATCATTAGCCACAGTAAAAGTTACGAAATTAATAACATTAACGGCAGGGTTTCACCCGGGTTTGCCGTAACTGTGGTCACAATCTATATGCCGGCCAATTCATAGGGACAGTTCCAACTGCATCACTAGTCTGGACTCGAATTCTTATAAATTTTACTAATCGTGTATAGGGGCGGGTGGATAATTAATCATTTCTGCACGTGATTGACGTGAGAATCGGTCACTTCCCCAGTAACACCACTAAATTTTTCACCCCACGTGACCTAATGATATTCATCACCGGCATCACACCCCACAGCGTTTTCACTGTTTATATTTATCTGAGGGACTTTTTTTTTTTGCCTTCCAAAATTATTTTTTTCACAACCCCTTAACTGTCACCGGTCACGTGGGTGAAATTTTAACTATAAAATTGGTGGTGTTACTACGGTAAATGAGAATCGGTCTGAAACTCATGTGACTAATATTTTATTTAATGTTGCGATTTTTTTTTCCACGTCACTACTTACTGGTGAAACATTTACTAAACAAAGTATTACTATTTGAATTTGCGAGTTTTTGAAAAAAAAAATAAAATTAATAAATGAACATTTTTAAAATAAATATACATATATATATTGTATTAAGAAAACTTGTGTATGTAGATGTAATCGAATTATAATTAAATTATTAATGATAAAGGGATAATAATTGCTGAAGTAGTACTAAGTCTTCTATTGGCAGGAATTTTCTTTTATTATTATAAATATCCTTGACCATAATTGGGGAATTTTTTTTCAATCCTGACCCATTCAAATTAGGTTTATGCCATTCATCTTCGTAAAATTTTTCCCAAGTTATAGTAAATTCAAACTACTTACGATCTAGGTCGAGTTGATTTTCCAACTAAATTATAATAAAACCAATAAATAAAGAATTATATACCGTAATTGTATTATCTTACATGATTCGTTGTGATACCAATCATTTAAATTTTTTCAACAGTCCTCACATAACGATTTTTAAACACTTTCATAAGATCTATATATGATAGGTATTATCGATTTCTAGAGTGAAGAATTGAAGTGAAGAGTTCTTGTTTTGACATTTTATAAATAACGTTTCTTTTTTTAAAAAAAAAATTGATCATTAAAAAAGAAAGGAGAATATTTATTTCCTTTTTTTTCTAGAAGACAAGAAATCGTTTATGATCCATATTTTGTGAAAAATCTCAAAAAAATTTTTACAAGAGGCCATCGAGTTCTCTGATTCCTAAATCTTCATCAATAAATTTATTTTCAATTAATTCAGTCATTTAATGTGAGATAAGATATATTAAAGTGTATATTAAAATGTATATATTAATATAACTTGAAATATTAAGCCAATGCAGTTCAATTTATTTCATTAAGTTATTATATGTAGAATACATTGGTACGGTAAGTAGATAAATCTTTCAACGTCTCGAACCTCGAGAACCTTAATATCATTTAAAATGATTAAGATTATATTTCTAAATTTATTATACTAAACTATTTTCCCAAAAAATAGTATATATTTATTTAATATTATAAAGGTATTTTTATTTTGTGTATTATATACTAAATAGTTTTTTTCGTTTCGATTAAAAATAATTTTTAATTTGTAAAATTAAAAAATAGTAACGTTTACAGATATAACGACTATGCGATATAACGAATTTTACGATAACAGATAAAGCGATTTTTTAATATTTTGTCTTTATATATGAACATATAAAAATCGCTTATAAATTTTGATATAACGATTTTTTTACATCGAGTTCTGACTGTATATAAAATTTAAATACCATTTACGGAAATGGGATTATTTCGACTACTTGTATAATTTAGTTGAATTTAGCTCGATTTGGCCTAGATAACTATTTATTTACAAAATAATATTTTCTCGTTTGTAATAAAATTAGGCAAAACAAAGGATTTAATTCCTTCTATTATTATAGAAATCTTTCATATACGTACAGTACATTGAAAATCCAAAGCCTATAAATATCGAATTGATATTCGTTCTTCCTTAACAAAATAAAATTCGTTAAAGGAAAGTTCTTTGTTGCCGAAAATGAATCGTATTTTCGCGCTCTTATTTTATAGAACTTTTAGATATTGAAAAAGGTTTTACTTTTTTTATAGGATTAAAAATTTAAACAATCTCAAATATATGAAGTTGTTGTACGTTCGCATATGTGCAAGTATCTTATAATTTGTTAAAATAAATGGAGTTTATATATTTTCAGCTGTTCTCTCTTTTTTTATAAAGCAAAACACTTAATTATTATTTTTTTTTAAAAAAATATTTTTGCAAAAATACTTTCTTATTTTATTAAGGACAATTAATTAAAATTTTTTTTTAACTACCGATTATTAATTTTAGTAATTATAACCATAATAGTGTATCATGTGACGACTGTGACGTCCGGAAAATATTGTATGAAAGGTTTAAAATTTGTCATGCATCATATTTTGCATGATACGCAAATAATTAAAAACAAAGAATTTGCGTTCTTTCGTGCGTGCTTCTTCTGTGTCCCGTACATTTTCAGCGCTTTGGAATAAAGAAGCAGGAATATCGGTTCTTCTTTTGAATTTCTACGGGCTTTTCACGTTCTTTTTCGTAAGGGTAAATATATAAATTTGTAAGAAAAATAAATATTAAGTAAAAAGAAAAATCTTTGTTAATGTTAAATCAATAATTTATTAATAATTGGATGAAGAGCGTATCAAAAAGCATTCGAATGAACCCATAACATTGGTTTCTTTACTTGCTTGTAAAAGTTAAATAAATCTGTTATCATTAATTATTTATACTTTTGTACATTTCGATGATTTTATTATATGACATAGAATATATTAAAACAAGAGTTCGATAGATAAAAAATTTTAAGATTTATAATTTGAGAATTAAAAAAGACAATCTAATCGATACACAGCACAATATGATACATTTATATAATAAAGCCAAATTTTACTATTTAGGATTTATATCAATTTCTATCCATTTTCTACATGCTATTTGTTTTTTTCTACGCTATTATTTTATAATTCCCTATGTACGAAATATTTTTTCTATCCTTTTTTCTTACATATATATATTCCTTCCACGTGAAAGTTAAAATAATTAGTAATTATCTTTTAGTTTTTTGTTTCATTGTTTATAATTTCTTCTTTTTTTCATCATATATGATTTAATTTATTTAATTACGAAGTAAATCCAATATTCCTTATAGATAGTTGTCTTGATAAAAATATTACAATCAATTGTGTGGACAAACATTGTCGAGATTATTAACTATGTTATCATTAATACTTTCATGAGAAGTACTTAAATTTTCACTGAAATATAGTCCTGTTTCACTTGTATGTTGTAAAAAGTACAAATTAAGAGTCTTCTTCAAGTTTTTTTCGAGATTACACTTTTGATGCGAAGATAATAAACATTTACGTTTCAACTCAGATATATCAAAATCAATTCCGTAAGTTTCCTTATTTAGAATATTTACAATTAAAGAACATGGTAATAGTTTACATGTAACATAAAGTATCATTTCGGAATCATTTGAAATGAATTCATAATCATAAACATCATCCGGAGAAGCAGAAATTTCCAAATCTTGTAAAAACATTTTACAACTTACATGATAAATATTATCATCATCTGGTGCTTGATAAAATAATCTGAGTTCATTAGATTCCAAGCTTTCAGTTGATAAATGACTTTGCATATTTTGACTATCAATAATCGAAGAACTTGTACTATGTGTCGTCATAATATTGCTTTCAATTTCTTCAGGTGAGGAATTAAAATATTCATCAGAGTCTGGTCTTACTTCATTATCAGAAATATGTGAGAAGTAAGAAGGAAGAATTTGCTGCAAGGTTTGTTTGAGATTTAATTTTTGATGTAAAGTTAATTTACTTTTAGAATAAGTTACATTAAAATTCATTCCATAAACTTTCTTATTCAATAGATTTACAATTAATGAATGTGATAATAATTTGCATGTAACATGAAATGTCGTTACGGAATCGTTCGAATTTTCAAAAAAGAACTCATGTTCATCATCATCAAGCAAAATAGTATTTTCTGACCCTTGAAAATGAATCTTACAAATTACATGATAAATACTATTATCATGTTGCAGTTGATAAAATAATCTACATTCGGACATAGTTCGAGTTGAAATCGAATTTAGTTCGCAAAATTGTTCGTTAATTATTTATAACGATAACGAATAATTTGAATGCTGTGTTGAATTAATTTTGTAACTTTAAATGCAAAGGTTTCTTTTTTTATATAAAGAGAGTTTTGAATTAGTAATGAATAAGGAAAAAAGGTTCTTTTTATGTTAAAATATTGAAAAAGGCTCACACTCTATTACGTTTTATTATAATATATAACAGCTACAAATATGATTTTCGATAGAAATAGTTGAGATTACCGTGTGTTTCTATTGCACAAACAATGTTTGAAATCTGTACGTCGTGTGAGGATATTTTTCTTAAAAGTTTAATTCGTAAAGTGTTTGCATAGTTTTTATAATTATTAAACTTTGCAAAAAGTGCAAGATTCTTGAATCTATTTAGGGAATGTCGAAAGTATGGAAGCGAAAATTTATAAATATTTTGATTTTTAATTTTTTATTTTATTTTTTTTTTATTTTTAATTTTTATTTTTTTTTTTTTTTTTTTTGTTTTTATTTTTTTTTTTTAAAAAAAAAAATTTATGTATATATAAGAAAAATATCGGAGTCTAGTTCCGTTTTGAATTATTCTTATGCTAATCATTTAAGGAAATCTTTGCCAGGTTGAGCCACACCGGTTACAAATAATTATGTGACAAATATAATTTCACAAAGAAAAAAATCGAAAATATACCGATGTGACAAGGAGTACAACAATAGGGATTTCCTTTTTTGAAGATGTGTGGCTAATTGTGGCTTACCCGTTCAAACCCGAGTGAATTACAGTAAATAGTTTAGCAAATCTGATACTGTTTCATTTACGATAAAAAGACATATTATGTTATATTTTAATATATATATGTAGATTATTATACTCTTTAAAAGTAGTTTATAACCTTTTTTTAACTGTAATTTAATTTCTTTATTTACTTAACTGATAATAATATTACTTTTCGGGTTTTATTTGCATTAAAAATTATTTGATTATTCATTATATCATTTTATTTTGTTTAGTAAATTTTTGATTTTAATGATTCAGCTATCGTTAGAATTTTTATTTCTTTTAAATTCTTTTAAAGAAAAAATCGTAATCAAATTTAGCAGCGCAGCCATTTGATGACGCAATATTAGTTGATCTGCAAAATTACTATCACATTTTTTTTTATACGAAAAAAGTAAACCGTGTAATATCATTTCTTTACCTTAATAAAAAAGAATATTACTTTAGTTAAAATACAATTATCTAAAAATAAAAAATGAAATCTCCGATAATACAAAAGAATAACATTAAAATCTGGGTTAATATCTTGAAATCGGACCTGATCCGATATTTTTGATTTAAAATCCGTTTTCTTTTTAATCTAAAGAGATTTTTTGATAATAGGAATAAAATAAAAAAATCATTAAAATTCTAACCGGTAAAGGAAACATTAATAAAAGGATTTAAAGGATTTGAATTATTTAAACGTGTAACCCTATAAAAAATTTATTCCGTATTTTTTTTTTATCATATTCACGGAATTTATAGCCTCAAAACATGGATAGATTCTTCTTAGTTATTTTTCCATAAATATATCATATTCACGGAATTTATAGCCCAAAAACATGGAAATTATCCATAGATTCTTAGTTACTTTTCCGTAAATGTATCATTTTCACGGAGTTTTTACAGAAATTACGGATAAAATTTTTTACAGGGTAATTTCGTGACCTTGCATCATTTTGGGATTAAACAATCGAATGATAACCGAATTTAAAAAAAAATTTTTTTTAGGTAAAAATAGACATGAAATTATTTTATCATTTACTGCTGGAAAGTGGAACAATACAATAATTATTGTTTATTATATCGAAATTCTAAAAACGATTCTCTCATTAATTTATTACTTGAATCATTCAACGCCAGCCTTATTATGTCCTTCTGAATTAATTCCAAATCTTCCTTTTTTCCTACATTTATGGAAAATTTGATATCTTACTCATTATAAGAAAACAATAATAATGAATAAATAAAATACCAGTCTAATCATCATCTAACAAAAATACACAGCGGTATATATAAAAATATCTGTTTACTATACGTGGAAAAATAAAAAGATAGGAACTTCAAACTTGTCAAAATAACAAAAAAAAGGACGAGTTCCAATATACCCATAAATATTCTCAAATTTTAGAGTATTAACCCAAAAATAATCTTTGGCGTATGCTTTCTTTGTATTGAACAGAGATAATCAATAGTCTATGCACGTACTCTGGAGTCTGAAAAATGATTCTGTGTACACAACCTAAATACCTGTCCATGGGATCATCCTCTCTATAATCAACTGCGATTCCGTTATTTTACCAGCAGATTCAAGCTTCTCTTGTAGAATCTCGCGAAGTATTTTTCTAAAGTCTGTAGATTTCAAGAGGTTCAATAAGTCATTTTTAGTAATAGCAACTTTGGTCACCTTACAAATTAAACAGTACATGCCTTCTTTATGGTAAATAACAAGAATAACATATCAGATATTATTTAAAGACAGGTCAATATTTTTAATAAGTTACCAATAATCTCATATCTCCTGCAAAAGATTAGAAAGAGTTTTTGTGATTTATATTAAAAAAGGGATGGCTTTTATAACAAAATATGACAAAGAAAAATAATATTAGTTGATTGTATGTCTTCAAATAAAATTAAAAAATGACTTGTCTTTGTGACGACAGCAGATTCTCATTATTTACGAATTTTCACTGATCGACATTTGGATCACGAATTAATAAACTTATTTTCCAGGTTTATTTTAAAAAATTTAGCGTATACTTAATTGTAAATAATTTTAATATAAAACAATAATACATTATCTACCTGTTTAACAATATGAATTTATTATTTTTAAATATAATATCATGAAATTATTTAATTTATAATAGTTTTATAAGCGTTAAATATTAAAATAAGTATATGCCGATCATTTTCAAGTTGGTTTTAATGAAAAATCAAAAGTGATAATTAAAACTTTCTTTGCTGTTCTTTGTTATTCTAAGTAAACTTGCAAAGTAGCCAAATATAATCTTAATGACTTTTAATATTTAATATGTATTAAGAAAATTTTCTCTATTTTGTGATTTTTGATACGTAATAATGAGATGATTGACATGCATTCCGAACATTGCAAATTTTGTTTGTCATACATGCAATGCTTGTACTTGTGATCAACATTTGTATACAATGCGTTTTGCATAAATATTATTACGTACTAATAAGATGTTTAATATATAAATAATAAAAAAAAAAAAGAAAACAAAATATTTACTCTTATCTTTCCAATTAGGAAGAATTTGATATAGCAATGGAACAATGTATTGGATGTGTTAATAGAGGTAATTATACAGCATAAATATATAATATAAAATTAGAATTATCCTGTCAAAACCTTTAAACAATTTTGCAAATATAAACTAACTATAGTATATAAAAATTATATTAAATAATTTAGCCCGTAAGTTAATAGGTTATCCTATAATCAAATTAAATTAAATTATAACAGATAATGGAATTAATTATTATCTTTACTCTATGTAACTATTTAATGATTAATAATACTATAGTTTGTAAGTTATCAATTATTTAAATTTTTTAGTTTTTTACTTTACTTATTTTACATAATATTCAAATAACTAAATTCTTTGTTTAAATAACTAATTAATTATATTACAGCTGGTAAGTTATAATACTTAAGTTAATATTATACTTATTGATTAATGTTTTAATATAATTTAACTAATTATATTCTTAATTTAAATAAATAGATTGTAAGTAATATATTTAATTTATAGTGAATACATTTCTATTATATTTATATTTAACTAATTAAAAATTAACAATAATTCAGGGTGTAAGTTATATGATGTCTATATTTCTATTGTTATACAATTTAAGCTAACAAAATTCTTTATTTTAAAAAATTATTTAAATAATATAGTTTGTAAGTTATTTATTTAATTCTATTATTACTTATTGTTATAATATTTAGATTTAATTTAAACTAACCAAATTCTTTATTTAAAAAATTATTTTGTAATTTCTTTTAGATGGTAAGTCATAAGTTATTTATTTAATTCTATTATTACTTATTGTCATAATATTTACATATAATTTTAACTAACTAAATTTTTTATTTAAAACATTATTTTGTAATTTATTTTAGATGGTAAGTTATTTATTTAATTCTATTATTGCTTATTGTTATAATATTTACACAACTAAATTCTTTATTTAAAAAATTATTTTGTAATTTCTTTAGATAGTAAGTTATTTATTTAATTCTATCATTACTTATTGTTATAATATATATAATTTATTAAACTAACTAAATTCTTTATTTAAAAAATTATTTTGTAATTTCATTTAGATAGTAAGTTATTTATTTAATTCTATTATTACTTATTGTTATAATATTTACATATAATTTAAACTATCTAATTTCTTTATTTAAAAAATTATTAAATAATATAGGGTGTAAGTTATTTATTTAATTCTATTATTACTTATTGTTATAATATTTACATATAATTTAAACTATCTAATTTCTTTATTTAAAAAATTATTAAATAATATAGGTTGTAAGTTATTTATTTAATTCTATTATTACTTATTGTTATAATATTTACATATAATTTAAACTATCTAATTTCTTTATTTAAAAAATTATTAAATAATATAGGGTGTAAGTTATTTATTTAATTCTATTATTACTTATTGTTATAATATTTACATATAATTTAAACTATCTAATTTCTTTATTTAAAAAATTATTAAATAATATAGGTTGTAAGTTATTTATTTAATTCTATTATTACTTATTGTTATAATATTTACATATAATTTAAACTATCTAATTTCTTTATTTAAAAAATTATTAAATAATATAGGTTGTAAGTTATTTATTTAATTCTATTATTACTTATTGTTATAATATTTACATATAATTTAAACTATCTAATTTCTTTATTTAAAAAATTATTAAATAATATAGGTTGTAAGTTATTTATTTAATTCTATTATTACTTATTGTTATAATATTTACATATAATTTAAACTATCTAATTTCTTTATTTAAAAAATTATTAAATAATATAGGTTGTAAGTTATTTATTTAATTCTATTATTACTTATTGTTATAATATTTACATATAATTTAAACTATCTAATTTCTTTATTTAAAAAATTATTAAATAATATAGGGTGTAAGTTATTTATTTAATTCTATTATTACTTATTGTTATAATATTTACATATAATTTAAACTATCTAATTTCTTTATTTAAAAAATTATTAAATAATATAGGTTGTAAGTTATTTATTTAATTCTATTATTACTTATTGTTATAATATTTACATATAATTTAAACTATCTAATTTCTTTATTTAAAAAATTATTAAATAATATAGGGTGTAAGTTATTTATTTAATTCTATTATTACTTATTGTTATAATATTTACATATAATTTAAACTATCTAATTTCTTTATTTAAAAAATTATTAAATAATATAGGTTGTAAGTTATTTATTTAATTCTATTATTACTTATTGTTATAATATTTACATATAATTTAAACTATCTAATTTCTTTATTTAAAAAATTATTAAATAATATAGGTTGTAAGTTATTTATTTAATTCTATTATTACTTATTGTTATAATATTTACATATAATTTAAACTATCTAATTTCTTTATTTAAAAAATTATTAAATAATATAGGTTGTAAGTTATTTATTTAATTCTATTATTACTTATTGTTATAATATTTACATATAATTTAAACTATCTAATTTCTTTATTTAAAAAATTATTAAATAATATAGGTTGTAAGTTATTTATTTAATTCTATTATTACTTATTGTTATAATATTTACATATAATTTAAACTATCTAATTTCTTTATTTAAAAAATTATTAAATAATATAGGTTGTAAGTTATTTATTTAATTCTATTATTACTTATTGTTATAATATTTACATATAATTTAAACTATCTAATTTCTTTATTTAATAGGTTGTAAGTTATTTATTTAATTCTATTATTACTTATTGTTATAATATTTACATATAATTTAAACTAACTAAATTCTTTATTTAAAAATTAATTTGTAATTTCTTTTAGATGGTAAGTTATTTATTTAATTCTATTATTACTTATTGCTATAATATTTACATATAATTTAAACTAACTAAATTCTTTATTTAATAGATCGTAAGTTTTAAGTTATTTATTTTTTTAATTCTATTATAACTTATCGTTATAATATTTACATATAATTTAAACTAACTTAAATCTTTATTTTAAAAAATTATTTAAATAATATAGCTCGTAAGTTATTTTTTTAATTCTATTTTTATTGTTATAATATTTACATATAATTTAGACTAACTGATTTCTTTATTAAATAGATCGTAAGTTATAAGTTATTTATTTAATTCTGTTATTACTTATTGTTATCATAATATTTACATATAAATTAAACTAACTAAATTCTTTATTTAAAAAATTATTTTGTAATTTATTTTAGTTGGTAAGTCATAAGTTATTTATTTAAATCTATAATTACTCATTGTTATAATATTTACATATCTGATATAATTTAAACTAACTAAATTTTTTATTTAATAGATCGTAAGTTATAAGCTATTTATTTAATTCTATTATTACTTATTGATATAATATTTATATATAATTTATTAAACTAACTTAATTCTTTATTTAAAAAATTATTTTATAATTTATTTTAGTTGGTAAGTCATATCTATTATTACTTATTGTTATAATATTTACATATAATTTAGACTAACTAAATTCTTTATTTAATAGATTGTAAGTTATAAGTTATTTATTTTTTTAATTCTATTATTACTTATTGTTATAATATTTACATATAATTTAAATTAACTAAATTCTTTATTTAAAAAATTATTTATATAATATAGATAGTAAGTTCTTTATTTAATTCTATTATTACTTATTGTTGTAATATATATTTACATATAATTTAAGCTAACTAAATTCTTTATTTAAAAAATTATTTAAATAATATAGAGAGCAAGTTATTTATTTAATTCTATTATTACTTATTGCTATAATATTTACATATAATTTAAACTAACTAAATTCTTTATTTAAAAAATTGTTTAAATAATATAGTTCGTAAGTCATTTATTTAATTCTATTATTAATTATTGTTATAATATTTACATATAATTTAAGCCAACTAAATTCTTTATTTAAAAAATTATTTTATAATTTATTTTAGTTAGTAAGTCATAAATTATTTATTTAATCCTATTAGGGTGCTGTCAGTTATTACCTAATATTTTAGGGGGAGGGGTAACTAAAGATCTTAGGTTCGTTATATATAATACTATGTAAGGAATTATATATATAACATGTCTTACCTGGGGGGAGGTTAAGCATAAGTTCTTATATTAAAGTGATATTAGGTAAAATCTGACAGTGCCCTTATTATTTATTGTTATGATATTTACATATAATTTGAACTAACTAAATTATTTATTTAAAAAATTATTTAAATAATATAGGGGGTAAGTTATTTATTCAATTCTATTATTACTTATTATTATAATATTTACATATAATTTAAACTAACTAATTCTTTATTTAAAAAATTATTTTGTAATTTATTTTAGATGGTAAGTTATTTATTTAATTCTATTAACACTTATTATTATAATATTTACATATAATTTAAACTAACTACTAATTCTTTATTTAAAAAAATATTTTTGTAATTTCTTTTAGATAGTAAGTTATTTATTTAATTCTATTGTTATTTATTGTTATAATATTTACATATAATTTAAACTAACTAAATTCTTTATTTAAAAAATTATTTTTTAGTTGGTAAGTCATAAATTATTTATTTAATTCTATTAGGGTGCTGTCAAATATTACCTAATATTTTAGGGGGTAACTAAAGATCTTAGGTTACATATAATACAATATAAGGAATTATATATATAATATATCTTACCTAAGGGGGGAGGGTAAGCTCTTATATTAAAGTGATATTAGGTAATATCTGACAGTACCCTTATTATTTATTGTTATAATATTTACATACAGTATAATTTAAACTAACTAAATTCTTTATTTAAAAAATTATTTTGTAATTTATTTTAGATAGCAAGTTATTTTTGATTATATAATTACTTATTGTTATAATATTTACATATAATTTAAACTAACTAAATTCTTTATTTAAAAAATTATTTAAATAATATAGAGAGTAAGTTATTTATTTAATTCTATTATTACTTATTTTTATAATATCTACATATAATTTAAACTAACTAAATTCTTTATTTGATAGGTTGTAAGTTATAAGTTATTTATTTTTTTAATTCTGTTATTACTTATTGTTATAATATTTATGTATAATTTAAACTAACTAATTTCTTTATTTAAAAAATTATTCAAATAATATAGTTTGTAAGTTACTTATATAATTCTATTATTACTTTCTGTTATAATATTTACATATAATTTAATCTAACTAAATTCTTTATTTAAAAAATTATTTTATGATTTATTTTAGTTGGTAAGTCATAAATTATTTATTTAATTCTATCATTATTTATTATTATAATATTTACATATAATTTAAACTAACTAAATTTCTTATTTAAAAAATTATTTAAATAATGTAGAGGGTAAGTTTATTATTTAATTCTAATATTACTTATTGTTATAATATTACATTATAATTTAAACTAACTAAATTCTTTATTTAATAAATTATTTTGTAATTTCTTTTAGATGGTATGTTATTTATTTAATTCTATTATTACTTATTGTTATAACATTTACATATATATAATTTAAGGCAATTTCTATTTGTACACGGGGTGTTTAAACACGGGTCATATTAGTATATTAAAAACGGCATTCAAAACCTCCTTTAATGCCTTAAGTAAACTTGCAGAGCAGGTGAAAATACATATATTTATCTGTAATATAATAAGAATAAAAATTAAAAGAGTATTTTGTTTGTAGCATTCAATTTTAAATTAAAAAACAAAAAATTAGTCTATTAAAAATTATATTTATATGACCTGTGTACAAACACCCCGTGTAAACTTAGAAATTTTCT